TGCGCCTGCCGGGTGCCAGTCGCCCCGGACTCCTGGGTCCCGGCAGTGCCACCTAGCACCCATCTCACCTCAGCACCCATCTCACCTCATTCTTCCTGCCCAGCAGGAGGTAGGTGGCTGTCACCTCGTTGTACTTCTGGTTGCTCAGGGACTCCTTGATCTCCTCCCGGGTGTAGCCCATGCCCACCATCACCTCTGCGGGGACACGGGTGCTCGGGTGAGGTGGCACCCAACTCCCAGTCGGGCCACCCACCAGATGGTGGGATAGTCCCCAGCACCTTGCCTGGGGTCTAGGAGACCCACCCTTGAGTGCCCCAGTGGCCCCATGCTCTCACCGATGCGCTTGGCATCCCCGAAATCCTCCTCGGGCTCCTTGTAGGGCTTCAGCTCGTCGCCCTCGTAGCCGATGTTGATCCACTTGTCCTTCATGATTTGCTGCGGCGGAGCAGGGGGGCGTCGTGAGGGCGGCACGGGCGTCATTAGGGCGGGTGCAGGCATCGTTAGGGGTAGCACGGATGTCATTGGGGGGCACGGGCACCGTTGGAGTGGCACAGATGTCATTGGGGTGGCACAGGCATCATTAAGGGTGGCGTGGATGTCATTGGGGTGGTATGAGTGTCATCAGGGGTGCATGGGTATCGTTAAGGGTGGCACAGACATCGTTAGGGATGCATGGGCGTCATTAGGGGTGGCATGGACCTCATTAGCTTCTCCTCCAGCTGCTGGAGGCAGGGGATGGGTGGCTGCACCCAGCCCGTGCCCACCCATGCCCCCTGCCAGGGCCACCCTGCACCCATAAAAGCCCCCGCACCCACAGCCTCACCTCGAGGGTGCAGCGCTTGGATGAGTTCAGCACCAGGAAGCGGCGCAGGATGTTCTCGCAGTCGGTCGACATGTAGAAGGGCACCCGGTACTTGCCCCGCAGCACCCGTTCCCGCAGCTCCTGCTCTTGTGCCCATCCCAGGGCAGCAACCAGCCCACCAGCGTGCCCAGGAGGACACCCAGGGTGCCCACCTTGAGCTTGTGCCCATCCCAGGGCAGCAACCAGCCCACCAGCGTGCCCAGGAGGACACCCAGGGTGCCCACCTTGAGCTTGTGCCCATCCCAGGGCAGCAACCAGCCCACCAGCGTGCCCAGGAGGACACCCAGGGTGCCCACCTTGAGCTTGTGCCCATCCCAGGGCAGCAACCAGCCCACCAGCGTGCCCAGGAGGACACCCAGGGTGCCCACCTTGAGCTTGTGCCCATCCCAGGGCAGCAACCAGCCCACCAGCGTGCCCAGGAGGACACCCAGGGTGCCCACCTTGAGCTTGTGCCCATCCCAGGGCAGCAACCAGCCCACCAGCGTGCCCAGGAGGACACCCAGGGTGCCCACCTTGAGGTTGTGCCCGTCGAAGGGCAGGGAACCGCTGACCAGGGTGTAGAGGATGACGCCCAGGCTCCAGATGTCGACCTCGGGGCCGTCGTACTTCTTGCCCTGGAAGAGCTCGGGGGCGGCGTAGGGGGGTGACCCGCAGAACGTGTCCAGCTTCGAGCCCAGCGTGAACTCGTTGCTGAAGCCGAAGTCGGCGATCTTGATGTTGGCGTCGGCGTCCAGCAGCAAGTTCTCTGCCTGCGGGCGCCGGGCACCCCGTTGGGCACCGCGTAACGGCAAGGGGGCAACGTTAAGGGTGATGCACCAGGCACTGGGCACAGGGACACTGGGAAGGGCGATGCATCAGGCAAACCGCAGAGGGCACAGGGACACCGGGAAGGGTGACGCATTGGACACCTGGCATGAGGACACCAGGAAAGGTGACATGTTGGGCACTGGGTATGGGGACACTGGGAAGGGTGACACATCGGGCACCGCAGAGGGCATAGGGACACCGTGCTGGGCACCGGGGTCTCACCTTCAGGTCCCGGTGGACGATGTTCTTCTGATGGCAGTAGTGCACAGCTGAGACAATCTGGGGACAGAGCGGGCATGAGCCAGGTGGCCCCCAGTGGCCTGCCAGCCCTCCCCCCCCAGGTGCCGGCTGGGTCCCCGATCAATGCCGCAGCCAAGCGCCCCGGGGGGATTGATCTTGCCCACGTGTCCCCAGCACGTGTCCCCACAGCCACCCTGCCCCCAGTATAACGGTGTCCCAGCACAGCCCCGTGGGTGCCCCCTGCTGCCAGGCCCCCAAGATGTCCCCAGCCCCACACCAGGGCAGTGTCATGCCCCACCCTGTCCCTTGCCCGACCCCCATGATGTCCCCAACCCCATGCAAAGGCAGTGCCATGTCCCCCATGATGTCCACAGCCCCACACCGGGATGGTATCACGTTCCCCATGATGTCCCCAGCCCTGTGCCAGAACCTCACGATGTCACCAGCCCCACACCAGGGCAGTGCCATGTCCCCAGTGATGTCACCAGCCCTGTGCCAGACCCCCACAATGTCCGCAGCCCCATGCCAAGGCGACGCCATGTCTCCCTGTCCTGTGCTGGGCCCCCATGATGTCTCCAGCCCCAGATCAGGATGGTGCCATGTGCCCCATGATGTCTCCAGCCCCACACCAAGGCAGTGCCATGCCCCCCCCCATGATGTCACCAGCCCCACGCCAGGGTAATGCTTTGTCTCTCTGTCCTGTGCCGGGCCCCCACAATATCTCCAGCCCCATACCAGGGTGGTGCCATGTCCCCTGTGATGTCTCCAACCCTGTGCCAGACCTCCACGATGTCCCCAGCCCCATGCCACGATGGTATCCTGTTCCCCGTGACGTCCTCAGCCCCGTGCTGTGTCCCCCGTGATGGCACCATCCTGGTGTAGGGCTGGGGACACCTGCCCCATGACGTCCCCTGCCCCATACCAGCCCCCCGCGATGTCCCCACACCTGCCGACCTGTCTGAACTTGGCCCGCGCCTCCTTCTCCTTCATCCTCCCGTGGGACACCAGGTAGTCGAAGACTTCCCCTGCGGAGACGCCCATGGGTGACTGTGCCTGGGCACCCCCCCAGGCACCCCACACACCAGGCAGCCCCCAGCACGGTGCTCACCCTAGCCCTTCTGCACCCTCAAAACCCCAACGGAGGCACCGTGGGGACATTGGGGGAGGGGGTTGACACACTGTGGGGCACCCAAGGGTGCCAGCGTGCCCCGGGGTCCCCGGCAGGGCACTCACCAGCGCTGGCGTACTCCATCACCAGGTAGAGCGTCTTCTCCGTCTCGATGACCTCGAAGAGTTTCACTGCGGGGGCACGACGTCATCGGCGTGCCCCGGTGTCCCCCAAAACGCGTCCCTTCCGTCACCGCGCGGGGCGGCCGCCCGCAGCGCGGCAGGGGCCCGCGGGGCCGGGGG